TACATTCAAAGAGAAATATCCCATATGCTGCTACCTGTTCTCTTGATTGATATCCTGTGCCTCCCATACCCCCGCAGTGGCAATATTCTAGTGCTGCGGTGGCTAATACAATCAGCTGCAACTGTCACAGTCACTTGTCAAGAGTACAAACTATGCCTACCCTTCTCCTCCCTCCTCAAGTAATAGCAGCTGTCCTATAGTTTTCATCAATAAAAAACTATTGAGAGACGGCAGATGGATGAAAGGTCCTCCATTCATAGAGTTCCTGTCATTGATGGGAACTTTCATACAGCTTGTATGAATGGAGGAGGTTGACTTAAAGGACGGTAATTGTTGATGCTTTTGAAAAGGCCTGTGACAGGTCCATCCAATCATATTAACGCCCGGAGCATCACTGTTGAGGGGTATGGGGAGGGGGGGGGGAAGGACTTTGGACTTCAACTAAGATACTGTAGCTGTCAGCAGCACAAGGGACACTTCTCATTGAATGTAAGTCCCTGACCCTTGTGCTGATTATTATTAAAAAAAATAAACTTGGGCTTTAACTCTTTCGCTGCCAGGTCCGTACAGTGTACGGAGAGCGGACGCACACATCATCCCCTTCTTGCTGTGACCCGAAAAGCGACATACATGACGTCACTTCTTGGTCACCGTTGTCACTTTCTCTGGCTAGAATAGAATAGAATTAAGGGTTGACATGTTCTGTGTCTATTTTCTCGACGCAAGATCGTCTTTTTTATTTTGCCAAAATTTGGGTAATTTATTGCATTTGTTTGCCCTAAAATTCACTTTATTGTGTTATTTACTGAAATGTTATGTTTCCTAGACCTTTTGCGGTAATATAAAAAATTGGAACTACGACTATTTTATTTTCTAGTGTCTGCTTTCAGAAAATATATAATGTTTTTTTGTTTAATCTTCAGGCCTAAAAATATTTTTTAAACATGTGAGCAAAAAAAAATGCAAAAACGGCTCTGGCCGCAAAAGGGTTAATGCTCATATTTTGTCTGCAAAAGTGCAGACTTAGACAAGCTGAAGGCTCAAAATGTAATTTATTCAAAGCCCAGGAAAATGGCAGAGTTACAAGATCAAGTTGGAAAACTTGCTTTGCATCCTTGAATTAGGCCCACCTTGCTAGTACTGGGTTTGACCCCCTTTTACCTTCAGAACTGCCTTAATACTTCGTGGCATAGATTCAACAAGGTGTTGGAAACATTTCTCAGAGGTTTTGGTCCACATTGACATGGGTTACTGCTGCCTTTCTATCATCCCAAACCAGCCTGCCCATTCTCCTCTGACCTCTGACTTCAGCTGCTCACTGGATATTTTATCTTTTTCAGACCATTCTCTGTAAACCCTAGAGATGGTTGTGCATTAAAATCCCAGTAGATCAGCAGTTTTTGAAATACTCAGACCAGCCCATCTGGCAATAACAACCATGCCATGTTCAAAGTCACTTAAATCCCCTCTCTTCTCCATTCTGATGCTCATTCTGAACTTCAGTAAGCCAACTTCACCACGTCTAGATGCCTAAATGCATTGAGTTGCTGCCATGTGATTGGCTGATTAGCAATTTGTGTTACCAAGCAATTGAACAGACGCCCCTAATAAAGTGGCCGGTGAGTGTATATGCTAATATATGTTGAATATATATGTTTTCATGTTTTAAAAGTACTGTTTTCTATTGATGTACCATATGCTGTCTGTATTTTATTTATTTATTTTTTTCACAGGAATCTGTGTTTCTGATCCATACGATATTGTGGCTAGGAAAGATTTTTTCATTGACCTCAAGCTTCCCTATTCCATTGTCAGAAATGAACAAGCAGAGATCCGTGCTATCCTCTATAACTATGGCACTGCTAGCATTCGGGTAATTTGCCAATACTTGTCAAAGTAACAGATTTTATGAACAGTGGCACTCTAAAAAGTCTTTTCTTAAATTTCTCATGCTCCTACACTGCTCAGATCCGCTGCAGAAGCTCAAAGGAATGCCAGGTACTGTCTGGTATAAGGAAACACAGGACACCCCCTGCCTTCCCCAGTGCAGTTCTTAACATTACAGTAGGAAATTGCAAAGTCCAAAAGATAGAGTTATGGCACTGTGCATAGCCCCGTGTCTTTGTTGTGTCCTTGGGGTAGTTTAATATTACGCAGATTAATATTTCTGAAGTCTTCAGTCTTGTTTAAAAGCCCCTATAAGGCAGAGTCTAGTTTCCCCTCTAAAGTCAGAGCATGCCTTGCTTGGCAGGTGTTAATTTGAACATCTATGTGAGATACACACAAAATAATATAGACGTCAGGAATATTACAGATGTTGGAAATGTAACAAATATTAACATAGAAGTCTAAGTGGTCTGTTTAAAAATGTCCTCACCATAGATACTTTACCTTTATTCATATTGGATCTAGATATCAGAGCATGGAAAACACTAGATAGAGACTCCATTAGGAACCTACTTATTCAACACATCATTATACCCTTTGATGTTTGGCAACAGGAACTTGGGATACCATCCACAAACACAACACTTCAGACTGAGCTAGATACTCAATTTATTAATTTTGTTAATCCTTTGTGCCCCAGAAAAGGGTTTTTATGATTTTATTTTTATTTTTTATTTTTGATTGGTAGGCATACTGTACCTTTTCATAAACTCCTACAATGGTCACATGGGAAACCGTACTAGCTAAGCAATTTATAGAGTGTGCATGGCAAAAAGTCTTACATTTTACATACAAACCATCCCATTTTACTAATCACCGGGAGTCATTGTGTGAAATATTGCACAAATGGTATATCACACCATGCAGGCTCTCTAACTTACACCCCTTCCCAGTGCTGAAGACTATGTGGAACCTTTGGGTCCCCCTGTCATGTCCTTTGGACCTTCAAATCTTTGTGTTCCTGTTGGTATTTCATCTTATTTCTGAAGTTATGATGCAAACTATGCCCCCCTCACCCAAACTGGCTTTTATATCTGGGAATCAATCCATCCCTCCCTTCCTCTAGAACTATTATCGTTCATTTACTCCCCGCAGCTGACTAGTGCCAGATAGTGGAAATCACCGTACATGCCTAGCATAATGGATTTGCACACACATTGCTCCATGTAGTGTACAACACCTCTGAACAATAATTCACACAAGATATACTATTATAATATATATATATATATTATTATTATTATTATACAGGATTTATATAGCGCCGACGGTTTACTCAGCGCTTTACATTATAGTGGGAGACAATACAGTAACAATACAGTTCAATACAAGAGTTATTTGAGGGCCCTGATCCTGGGAGCTTACAATCTAGGAGGGAGGGGTGAATGGTACAATAGGTAATAACTGTGAGGGATGGAGTGGTTGGAAGAGTAGAGGATACCAGTAATAGCAGAGGGCGGGATAGGCTTCCCTGAAGAGAGAGGTTTTCAATGATCGCCTAAGGTAAGTAGAGTAGGTGATAATCTGATAGACTGGGTGTCAGGGCTCCGGGGTGTGACCAGAGGTATGTGACTGACGCAGGGAAACGCAGGCTTCAGATATGTTATAAACAATAAGACAATTTATTGAAGACTAACAATACAAACATAAACGCAGTGCAATACTAAAACATAACACAGTGCAAACAAATCAAACCAAACCACCCACAGATAACAATGCAAACAATGCAAGCGTCGTCAGGCAGGCCGGGTCACTAACAAACGGGCAGGTAGGTACAGGGGGTCAGGCAGAGAATGGTCGGGGTCACAAGCCAGGGATCAAACAGGAGAAGTCAGAAGAGGTCCGGATCAGGCAGGGTCAGCAACGAATCAGACAGAGACAGGAACAGGAACAGGTACAGGAACAGGAACAGGAATGCAGGAACAAGATACAGGGCCCAGGAAAAACACACACACCAAGGCAAAGACTGCAGGTCTGGCCATCACTTAAATACACCTGCAAAGCAGTTTCAGGTGTTTGGCTGCTGCAGGGTTGAGTCTCTGATTGCTGGGAGCACCCGCTGGCCAGCCCTGGTACTGCAGCCCACAAGGCAGGTGAGTCCCACCATTACTGGCCAGTCCATTCCTGACAGTACCCCCTCCCCTCAAGGAGCGGCCTCAGGACGCTCCAAACAGTCCTAGCTGGGCAAAATGTTCCACCGCCCGGGTCTGGTAACTGGCGGGATATCAAAGACTGGCACACCGGGCAGGACTCCGGGCAGCGGCACACCGGGCAGAGGCACATCGAGCTGGAGTCCGGGCAGAGGCACATCGGCTGGACTCGGGGCAGAGGACATCTGGACTCCGGGCAGAGGCACATCGGGCTGGACTCCGGGCAGAGGCACATCGGGCTGGACTCCGGGCAGCGGCACATCGGGCAGATCACACATCGGGCAGAGGCACATCGGATCACCAGGCGGAGCAGCAGGCATCGAGCCACCAGGCGGAGCGGCAGGCATCGGGCCACCAGGCGGAGCGGCAGGCGCCGGGCCACCAGGGGAGCGGCAGGCGCCGGGCCCAGGCGGAGCGGCAGGCGCCGGGCCACCAGGCGGAGCGGCAGGCGCCGGGCCACCAGGCGGAGCGGCAGGCGCCGGGCCACCAGGCGGAGCGGCAGGCGCTGGGCCACCAGGCGGGGCGACAGGCGCCGGGCCACCAGGCGGAGCGGCAGGTGCCGGGCCACCAGGAGGGGCGCCAAGAGCCGGGCCACCAGGCGGGCAGGCGCCGGGCCCCCAGGCGGGGCGACAGGCGCTGGGCCCCCAGGCGGGGCGACAGGCATCGGGCCCCCTGGCGGGGGCGACAGGCATCGGGCCCCCTGGCGTTGGATAGTCTGGCTCGACAGCGGGCATCGGGTCACCAGGCATGACAGCGGGCACTGGGTCACCAGGCATCAGGTCATTTGGCTCGCCAGCGGGCACCACGTCATCTGGCAAGGCAGTGGGCACCGAGACACCAGGCACGACAGTGGGCTCCGAGTCAACTGGCATGACCGCGGGCACTGGGTCAGACATTGGATTGTCTGGCCCGACAGCGGGCATCGGGTCACCAGGCATGACAGCGGGCACTGGGTCACCAGGCATCAGGTCATTTGGCTCGCCAGCGGGCACCATGTCATCTGGCAAGGCAGTGGGCACCGAGTCACCAGGCACGACAGTGGGCACTGGGTCAGACATTGGATCGTCTGGCCCGACAGCGGGCATCGGGTCACCAGGCATGACAGCGGGCACTGGGTCATCAGGCATTGGATCGTCTGGCTCGACAGCAGGCATCGGGTCACCAGGTATGACAGTGGGCTCCGAGTCACCAGGCATGACCGCGGGCACTGGGTCAGACATTGGATCGTCTGGCTGGACAGCGGGCATCGGGTCACCAGGTATGACCGCGGGCACTGGGTCATCAGGCATGGGATTGTCTGGCTCGACAGCGGGCATCGGGTCACCCGGTATGACAGCGGGCACTGGGTCACCAGGCATCGGGTCATTTGGCTCGCCAGCGGGCACCACGTCATCTGGCAAGGCAGTGGGCACCGAGTCACCAGACATGACAGTGGGCTCCGAGTCAACAGGCATGACCGCGGGCACTGGGTCAGACATTGGATCGTCTGGCCCGACAGCGGGCATCGGGTCACCAGGCATGACAGCGGGCACTGGGTCATCAGGTACCGGATCGTCTGGATCGACAGCGGGCATCGAGTCAACTGGCCTAATGGAATCATCAGGCTGGATCAGTTCATCAGGCTGGGTAGAAACATCATGCTGGGTAGAGGCATCAGGCTGAATGGAGGCATCAGGCTGAATGGAGGCATCAGGCTGAATGGAAGCATCAGGCTGAATGGAAGCATCAGGCTGGGTAGAAACATCATGCTGGGTAGAGACATCAGGTTGAATGGAGGCATCAGGCTGAATGGAGGCATCAGGCTGGGTAGAGGCATCAGGCTAGGTAGAGGCATCAGGCTGAATTGTGGGCGCCGAGGAACCAGGCTGCACCACGGAAAGCAGGTTCTCAGATGGGAGGCTGACCGGTTTGGATACTGGCAGGATGGTATTGGTTGGAAAGAACGTTCGCCTTTTCCTGGTTTTAGCTACTGGGGTACTGCAAGTAAACGCAGGTTTGTAAATGGATGGAGCAGCTGGAGACAGAGAAGAGCTGGAGGATGGAACAGAGGAGGGAACAGTTGCTACAGAGGGCTTCTTTACAGGCTTAAAAGCAGGATAGGTGCAGCGAGTGGGAACAGGGTACTGACATGTGGTAGATAGCAGGGTATACTGGGCTGTAACTGGAGGTGCTGTTGGGAATGCAGGAATAGAGCTTTGAGGAAATAGATTAGAAGCAGGACTGGGTTTTTGTAAACTGACTGAGGCTGGGTGCAACAAATCTGTCCATGTCTGCAGTATGGGTTGAACAAAGCTGAGCTTACACAAAGCCTGTCTGACCAAAGACTGCACTGCGTTTATACAATCCCTTAATACCTGTGGTGAACATGCAGCATAATGCTCCAAGAAGCAATCCACATCATCCTCTAATAACCATACCAGGGACTCTACCTGGTCTGCACTAAATGGCGGCAAAAAGTCATTCCTGCTTTCAGGGGCACCAGATGAAGCCAACTCTACACAAACCTGAATCAAAGGTTGCACCTCAGAGAACTCTGTCCCCTGATCTACTAGAACATGAGCGATCCGTATATATTCTAGCAGTTCATCCCGGGTATACTCCCTCAGACTCTGATAAGCATACTCTCTGTCATCAAAAACCAGCAGAGATAAATACACAACCTCATCAAGATCCATCCTTCCCAGCAACAAGCCAAGATGGCTTCCCAGTGCAGCCACTTCTGGTCAGGATTGGCCTTGGTGTAATGTCAGGGCTCCGGGGTGTGACCAGAGGTATGTGACTGACGCAGGGAAATGCAGGGTTCAGATATGTTATAAACAATAAGACAATTTATTGAAGACTAACAATACAAACATAAACGCAGTGCAATACTAAAACATAACACAGTGCAAACAAACCAAACCAAACCACCCACAGATAACAATGCATACAATGCAAGCGTCGTCAGGCAGGCCGGGTCACTAACAAACGGGCAGGTAGGTACAGGGGGTCAGGCAGAGAATGGTCGGGGTCACAAGCCAGGGATCAAACAGGAGAAGTCAGAAGAGGTCCGGATCAGGCAGGGTCAGCAACAAATCAGACAGAGACAGGAACAGGAACAGGTACAGGAACAGGAACAGGAATGCAGGAACAAGATACAGGGCCCAGGAAAAACACACACACCCAAAGGCAAAGACTGCAGGTCTGGCCATCACTTAAATACACCTGCAAAGCAGTTTCAGGTGTTTGGCTGGCTGCAGGGTTGAGTCTCTGATTGCTGGGAGCACCCGCTGGCCATCCCTGGTACTGCAGCCCAAAAGGCAGGTGAGTCCCACCATTACTGGCCAGTCCATTCCTGACACTGGGGTAGGGAGTTCCAGAGGATGGGTGATGCCCCGTAGAAGTCTTGGTGATGAGCATGGGAGGAGGAGATAGGGGAGCTAGAGAGAAGGAGGTCTTGCGAGGAGCGGAGTGTACAGTTTGGGTGATATTTAGAGACAAGATCGGATATGTAAATTGGGGCAGTGTTGTGGATGGCTTTGTATGTCATAGTTAGTGTTTTGAATTTTATCCGTTGGGCAACTGGGAGCCAGTGGAGTGATTGGCAGAGAAGGGTGGCAGATACAGAGCGGTTAGTGAGGTGGATGAGTCTGGCAGCAGCGTTCATGATAGACTGAAGGGGGAAAACCCCTCGAAGAGGTTGGCCAATGAGAAGGGAGTTACAATAGTGGAGGCGTGATATGACAAGGGAGTGAATAAGTTGCTTATTGGTTTCCGGGGTTAGGAATGGTCGTATCTTGGAGATGTTGCAGAGGTGAAATCTAGATGATTTTGTCAGCGATTGGATCTGGGGCTGAAAGGACAGATTAGAGCCTAGGATTACACCTAGTACCCTGGCATGAGGGGATGGACTGATGATTGTTTTTTCGATATTTATGGAGATGTCAGGGGAGGGGGCACAGGCTGGGGGAAATACTAGGAGCTCAGTTTTGGAAAGGTTGAGCTTGAGGAAGTGGAGTGACATCCAAGCCGAAATGTCACTTAGTAGGCTAGGGATGCGGGTGGAGACTGAGGGGGTGAGGGGTAAACAGATAGATTTGCGTGTCATCAGCATAGAGATGTAATTGAAGCTGTGGGAGTTTATCAAGTGACCAAGGGAGGAGGTGTAGATGGAGAAGAGAAGGGGTCCAAGGACAGAACCTTGAGGGACCCCTACAGAGAGAGAGGTAGTGAAGAGGAGGTGGCAGCGTTATGGGTAACACTGAAGGAGCGCTGCAATAGATAGGAGGAGAACCAGGAGAGAACGGAGTCTCTGAGGCCAAGAGAGTGGAGTTTATTGAGGAGGAGGGGATGGTCAACCTTGTCAAAAGCCGTGGAGAGGTCGAGTAGTAGGAGTATTCAATAGTGGCCGTTGGTTTTTTTTCAGTTAGTAGGTCATTAGACAGTTTTAGTAGGACAGTTTCAGTGGAGTGTAGAGGGCGAAAGCTAAACTGTAAGGGGTCGAGAAGGTTGTTGTCCGTGAGGTGGGAGCTCAGATGATTGTAGACTAAGTGTTCTAGGAGTTTAGAGGTAAATGGCAGCAGGGAGATGGGTCTTAGGTTGTTCAGGTTGGTGGGATCCAGGGAGGGTTTTTTAAGTATGGGAGTGATGTGCGCGTGCTTTAGATTGGAGGGGAAGGCACCTGTAGAGAGGGAAAGATTGAAGATGTGAGTGAGGGAGCATAGGATGGAAGAGGAGGGTGACCGAAGGAATTGTGAGGGGCAGGTGGTGAGGAGGGCTTCCGAGAAGACCTTAAGGACTTAAGCACTTATATACTGTATATAGTTTTGTTTAAAATACATTATTAAAAGCAAACAAAGTTTTGAAGTACTCTTGAATGACATTCACCTAGTCATCAAATGTACTGAGAATTTTCATACAAATGTTGATGCTAATTTTCTTACAAACCTTCATTTGAAAATCTACTAGAGTGTGGCCAGCTTTGTTCTGCTGAATCCTGTATATTATTTTAAAGGTTACTACCTGATATTCTTCTCTGTTCATTTCCATCCCACTTTCACATTCACATATTTTCCTTCCCAATATCCATTTTCTCCATCCCCTCCTTATCCCTTACCATATCTTAAATTTTTTTTTCTCATACTCCTTCCCTAGTAGGAAATGTTACTGTGCAAGTTAAGTATTCAATTGATATGGTATTCACTTTAAAAGCCAAACTTTGGCTTTTCCAATCAAAAGCCTGTTATTGTTAATATGGTTGATTGCTTGCGACATATGTCACTCAAATGATATGAACTGCCATTTACATAGCTTATGCCTATGTTTATACTGAAAACGTATTCTTATTAAAGATTGAAAGATATAAATGTTTTCACACATGATTGACACAACTTTTATTTAGGATTCACACATTTTCAATTAAACTAAAAAAATTGTGTGAATCATGGGTGAAAGCTTTTCGAATTTTGTGTGAAAACATGTATATAAATAGACCCTTTTAGTTTTTCAGAAAAAGCAACTGTAGATAAAAAAAAACAGCAACAACTAGTTGCACATGAGCATTATAACAACACCAAAATATTATTTTGTATTTGGTATTTTCAATACGACAGTACAAACATAAAATATATTATTATATAATAATACTGCAATTTTAGATTTAGATGTATTTTAGTCTACATGGAAAACCTTGAACTATTCACATTAATCCCTGCCCCTGAGGACCTTTTTTGATTACCGATTTTTCGCTCCATAACCACCTGACCATGACGCACCTAGGTTTTAGAGGCAAAAACTGGGAAAAAAATATTCTGAACAATGGACTGCAGACATAGTACAGAAAATAACAGAGACTGAAGACACAGTACAGGAGATACCAGAGACACAAACACACAGTAGTTTGCGGACACAGTTTTGGGACACAGTGGTGACCAGAGACTGGGACACAGTACAGGAGATGACCAGAGACTGCGGAAGTACAGAAGACCAGAACACAGTACCTGCGGACACAGTGGGATGAAAGACACACAGTACAGGGGATGGCAGACTGCGGAAAACATTAAACTGCGGACACAGTACAGGGGATGACAGAGATGCGGACCTCTAGACAACATACAGGGGATGACCAGATGGATATAAATCAAACCTACACTGCGTATGCCAGCACAGTACTGCGGACACAAGACTGCCAGACACTTATATGCATTAAATTTTAAAGTCCATACTATCCCCTGCACCCAGGTCATATCTACTAGGAGTTGGGCATCTGTCATTTTAACTTACAGATGTAGAAGGCAGAGTCGAACTTAGGACCGTTCGTAGAGCAGGGAGCACATTGGCCACACCCGCAGACCGGACTGCAGTATGTTGCGCTGACCTCCACGACATGGTAAGGGCGGACCGGCGCAGAGCAAGCTGGCGGGGTTCGGTTGCCCACTACACACCAAACAACAGCCTGCGGTGGGATGCAGGCTGCATGGGACCCTGACATTGCACAGGTTGTGATTATTCGCTCCATAAGACGCCAATTTTCATAGCGTCTTATGAACTATCACAAGGGGATAGTTTCTTTTGGGATGGGGGATTTTGGACCCCCAAAACCCATGGAAAACACAGACCCAGACAAAACATTACAAACTATTTAAGAACTGTAGAACATGCCAGACACTGGCGCATTAAATTTCCACAGCTGGTCAGCCATGATGTTCGAGTCGAACTCGGGTCGGCTAGAACATTGGCCATTGGGCATGACCACATGTTTGGCAGGCTTGACACCCAACAATCTACTTGTGATTGGCCAATCATAGGAGATGATATCACAAGGGGATGTTTTGACATCACAGTTTTATTTTTGTCACAGCGGGAGCCAGAGTTATTAAAGGCGGTGGTTGTCAATCGTGATTGACGTAACTTCTTCAGGAGACATGTTTTTATTTTTGTTTTTATTAAAGGACTTGTCAAAGACTACTTCTGTCATTTTTTACACTACACTTTTTTTTTGAATGAGTAGCGGTACCATGTACTCCATACTTATTCACATGGGGGGGCATGGATCAGGGGGCTCCCTTTTTAAAGGGGGCTTCCAGATTCCAATAAGCCCCTGCCCACAGACCCCCACAACCACTGGCCACGGTTGTGGGGAAGAGGCCCTTGTCCCCAATGTGTTTGAGGGGTAGCCTCACTGCTCCAATGCACCCCCCCATGTTGAGGGCATGTGGCTTGGTATGGTTCAGGAGGGGGTGGGGCATTTGCCTGCCCCCCCCTTTTTTTGACATGCTGGGCTGCATGCTTGTATAAGGGTTTAGTAAGGATTTTGGGGGGACCCCCATGCATTTTTTTTAAATTTGATGTAGAGGTTTCCTTCAAAATCCATACCAGACCTAAAGGGCTTGGTATGGATGGGGGGTTACACCACATTTTTTTTTTTTAGTTGTTTAATTGCCGGGCAATTCTTTTTACATTCAGCTGTCAGCAGGGAACCCCTCTGACAACTAAAACATTAAAGAATGTTTTTAGTAGCCGTGCGTTATCTTACCGCATGTTTTGATGTGGTAAGATACTGCTTAGTGAATTGTCCCCTCTGTTTGAAGTTCGCAGTCGAACTTTCATAAGGTTTGAATGTACAACCGTGAACTGAACAGGGGGGTGTTCGGACCATCACTAATATCTACACATATTGTAGACCAGAAGGGGAGACCTTATGCAAGCCAAGTATCTGACAAAGGCATTTATGCACAATTTTTAAAAATTTTCTTTCCTGCTTGGTTTAGGTACGTGTGCAGTGGACTTACAATGAAAAACTCTGCAGTCTTTCCACTGCTAAAAGGAATTACCAACGAATTGTGACCATGAAACGTCTCTCATCTATGGTTATACCATTTATTATTGTTCCCCTGGAAGTTGGATCTCATGAAATAGAAGTGAAGGCAGCTGGACATGTTGTTTCGATGGTGTGCAGAAGAAGCTGAAAGTTGTGGTACGTAAGAGGCAATATTTTTTTATATAACTGACAGTTTATTATGTTTCCAAAAGATTCAAAGTAACAATCAAACAGTAAGATCAAACAATATAAAATAATGTATATGCAGCGTAAAGTAGTAGGCACATAGCACAAAGTAGCACTATTGACGAGATAGAAATATCACAAAGTTAGTGAGTGCAAACAAGGCGCATACATGGTGGGGTGAAGATTTACCCCCCTTCATGACCAGGCCATTTTTTCTGTTGCACTATTTTAACTGACAATTGCACGATCATGCAACACTGTGCACAAATAAAATTTATATCATTTTTTCACATAATTAGAGCTCTCTTTTGGTGGTATTTGATCACTACTTTTTTTTTATTTTTTGCTCTGCAAACTAAAAAAGACTGAAAATTTTGAAAAAAGAAACCAATATATTTTACTTTTTGCTATAAAAAGTATCCAATAAAAAAAATCTTCATAAATTTAGGCCAAAATTTATTCTGCTACATCTTTGATAAAAAAAAAAAATATATTAATTGGCTTGTGTCAAAATTATAGCATCTACAAATGACGGTATATATACTGGAATTTTGTTTTTTTTACTAGTAATGGTGGTGATCAGTGACATAGTGGAACTGTGATAATATGGCTGGCATTCTGACACTGGCTAGCTGACATGACCAGTGACATTAATACACTAATTAATAGTGATCAGTGCTAATAAAATGCACTGACATTGTACTGGGGTAATCCGGAGCAATCAAAGAGTTAACTGTGTTCCTTACTATATTATTATTATTATTATACAGTATTTATATAGCACCAGAAAGGTTTGTTCAGTGCTGTACATTATAGTGGGGGACAGAACATGAGACAATACAGTAACAATACAATACACGAGGGGTTCGAGGGCCCTGGTCTTTCGAGCTTACAATATAGGAGGGAGGTGAAAGTGGTACAGGAGGAAGTGGCTGTGGGGATGGAGTGGTAGGAGGAGTGGAGGAGATCAGCTGTTAGGTGAGACTGGGGTAGGCTTCCCTGAAGAGATGGGTTTTCAGGGTGCGCCGAAAGGTGAGGAGGGTAGGTGACAGTCTGATGGATTGGGGTACTGAGTTCCAGAGCATGGGGGAAGTCTGGAGAAGTCCTGCAGTCGGGAATGGGAGGTGGAGACCAGGGAGCTAGAAAGTAGGAGGTCTTGTGAGGAGCGAAGATTACGGGTTGGGTGGTATTTGGGTATCCAGGTCAGTGAGGTAGTTTGGGGGCAGCATTGAATGGCTTTGTATGTCAGTGTTAATAGTTTGAATTTAATGCGATGGGCAATCGGGAGCCAGTGGAGGGAATGACAGAGGGGGGTGGCAGAAGAGGAGCGGTTGGTAAGGTGGATGAGTCTGGCCCGCTGAGTTCAGGATAGACTGAAGCGGGGATAGTCTGTGATGAGGTAGGCCGGTGAAAAGGGAGTTGCAGTAGTCCAAACGTGAAATAATGAGGGAGTGAACAAGTTGTTTAGCAGTGTCTGGGGTTTAGGAACGTACGTATTTTCGAGATGTTGCAGAGGTGGAGTCTGCATGAGTTTGCCAACGATTGGACATGGGGTTGGAAGGACAGGTTTGAGTCTAGAGTGACACCTAGGACTTTGGCTTGCGGGGTGGGACTGATGGTGGCGTTGTTGGTCATGATGGAGAAGGTGGGCAGGGGGGCGTGGGCTGGGGGGAAGATTAGGAGCTCGGTTTTGGAAAGTTTCAGTTTGAGGAAATGGAGCGACATCCAGTTTGGTACAGTCAGGTCCATAAATATGCGGGACATCGACACAATTCTAACATTTTTGGCTCTATACACCACCACAATGGATTTGAAATGAAACAAACAAGATGTGCTTTAACTGCAGACTGTCAGCTTTAATTTGAGGGTATTTTCATCCAAATCAGGTGAACGGTGTAGGAATTACAACAGTTTGCATATGTGCCTCCCACTTGTTAAGGAACCAAAAGTAATGGGACAGAATAATAATCATAAGTCAAACTTTCACTTTTTAATACTTGGTTGCAAATCCTTTGCAGTCAATTACAGCCTGAAGTCTGGAAACGCACAGACATCACCAGACGCTGGGTTTCATCCCTGGTTCCCATGCTGTATGGGTCTGATGTTGTGTGTGGTTAAAGGCGCTAGTGAGTCAAGGGCTGTTGACAGCACCTTGTTATAGGCAGTCATAGCCAAGTTGGGCAGGACAGGGGGAGGATGCTGTCATGGAGTTGATCATCTGCAGAGTGGAGGGGAGGGGATAGAGAAGGTAATCAGGTTGTGGTCAGAGAGAGGCAAGGGGGTGTTAGTGAGGTTGTGGGGAGCGCACAGCGGTTGGAGAAGACGAGATCAAGGATATTACCGTCGGAGTGGGTGGTGGATTGTATGCACTGTGCAAGTGCAAAGGAGGAGGTTAAGTGGAGGAGATGGGATGTGGCCGGGTTGTTGAGGTTGACAGGGATGTTGAAATCCCCAAGGATGATGGCTAGCTCAGAGGAGAGGAAGAAGGGTAGCCAGGAGGAAAAGTCATCCAGAAAGCAGGATATGGATCCAGGAGGCCGGTATATCACAGCAATCTTCAGGGAGGTTGGGGAGAATAGTCGGACGCAGTGGGCCTCGAAGGAGGAGAAGGATAGAGAGGGGGGGTTTGGGAGGACTCGGAAGGTGCTCTGTGGTGACAGGAGCAAACCAACCCCACCACCTTTACGACCGTTGGGTCTGGGTGAGTGCGTCAAGGTGAGACCTCCGTAGGAGAGTGCAGAAGGGGAGGTAGAGTCAGTGGCCTGGATCCAGGTATCCGTGATCGCTAGGAGGTTGAGGAGTGGGAAACAAAGAGGCCGTGGATGGCGGTAAACTTGTTGCACACCGATCGGGCGTTCAGGAGTGCACATGTTGAACACTTGTTGCACAGTTGAACACATGTTGAGTGTCATATCCTTCTGCCTTCATGAATTCAGCAAATTCTTTCTTGTAGGCTTCCGCAGCAGCCTTGTCATGGTGAGGAAGCCTCACCATGTCCTGCCGCACTGTGGATGCCACTTCTCTTGCCAAATTTTTCAAACTATCCTCTACTGGCTTTAAATTCTTCACTTGCTCCACTTGTAGAGCATTTTTTTTGCAGTAAATTACTGTGAAATTTCCTGGCTCACAGATCATAGCTTCACTAATGCTATCACATGTCAGCTGTTTCTCATTCAACCGCACTAACAAAA